GCGAACATAAGGCCAACCTCAACGTTCTCCTTGGCTGTCTCTTTTCGCTTCACTTCTAACAGCTCCCCAGTAATGTTGGCTAAACAAACTTCGGCCCATTCTGCTTCCACATCGTCGGATCTTCTTTCGCCCTTTACGGCTCCTCCGGTGCCCGATCCAGCTACGTTAGATCCTGCTTTTTGGCCAATTGTTCGGTTTGTTTGCACGTTCTGGCTTCCTGCAGGAGTGCTCAAGCCTTCTTTGGCCTTCAACTCTTTGCTCTGCTGCTCGTTCCAATAATCTTGACGATTAATCAATCCTTTTAATTCTCTGCTCACTGAAGAATTGTACCGTAAGTGAGAAGATTTTACTTGACGTACAGGAGATGACCCTCGTGAGGCGTACAACATGACAGGCTCGACAGCCTCGGCTAGCACATCGTCCAGATAGACGGTACAGTTCGGGTTCAAGTATTCCAGCTCTTTGAGGAGTGTCTCTCGTGAAGAGTCCTGCCTCCTTAACGACATGAGGAAATTGGGAATGATTGGCACTGAGCGAAAAAAATGGGTAGCGTAGCAAAGGAGGTGCAATTGTAAACGATTATCAAACAAAATAAAATGTTTGAGATTATTTTTTTGCTGTATTTCTAAATTTATTACATATTAAATGTAGTTGGAGCCAAGACAGGAAGACTGAGCCTGCCAAAGTTAGCAAACACAAAGATTAGTATTCCAAGTTGTGAATTATGATGATTAGAGGGCTTTTACTGTTAAATAAATGCAGTTGCCACCCAATTTACACCACATTATTAGCATGAACGAGATTAGAGCCCATGTTGTGCAAGTAAACCTGCAAATTAATAGTCTCGGGTGCCCAAAGTAAGTTCTTGATAAACCTAATCTGATTCGGAAGCTCGCCAGGCGTGTTTTAGATATACAAGCTTATCATAAAGTGTAGCGTAAACTGGGTGCTACTAACTTGTAGCTTGAGTAAAAGTTTGTCATAAAAAGGTTATTTTATAGATCTCACCAGAAGATGATTTAAAATTTTCCTCTGCCTGAGGTAATTTGGGCTAACTTGAAACGTATTGTTTACGCATTCCCTGGGACAATCTCCTTCGGTTATGCCGTAAACCGGATAATATTTGCCCTGTCCTGTCATACAAATTCTAAGAGCCGGAAGCAATTATGAAGTTTGTGTCATGTCCTCAAATTAAAAACAAATTGGCTTTACATCTTACAAAGAGAGCTTGCTAGCCAAATCAAAAAGAATTTTTAAAATAGCGACATCTTTCCATCAGGTAATGGTTTTAGGTTACTTGTCCACTTCTAAGTGCTTAGTGGAGAGTGCTGGAGTAGTCTGGTATCATGACAACATTGGCCTTATATAACGGGGAAAACAAAAGGATTGTGGGTCCCTAATTAGCAGAGGCTTAAATGAATTTTAGCGCATGCTACAACTTTTTAAATCATTTCGAGATTAACATAACCCCGGAAAACTCAAACAAATAAAGAATTATGAGTTATTTAAAAATAGATGTATTGAACTAAAACTTTATAAATAATACCAATTTAAACTGAAATAGACTTTAAATAAATCAAAAATATTGAGCAATAAGTGAGAAAATTAGATCTGAAGGAGAAGGAAAAAGCCATTCATGAAATCTAAGGTGTTAGTGAAAAAATAACTCATACGTTTCGACAAACCATATCCT